AGCCTTTCTACATGGACAGCACTAAAAAATTCAGCCACTATTAAAGTAATTTGTTCATTCCTGTCCGAAAGCAGGTCCTGAACTGTTGGTAGCATAGAAATCAGCCTATTGAGTTGTAAGGCCTCTAATTGTCTTCGGCCATAAATGCCAAAATCATAAAAAAGAAAATATGCTCCAAAGTAGCCTATGCTTATGCACTTACATATATATATATATTGCAAGTCAGGCAGAGATGTTTTTGGTACAAGTGACTCTATGCAGATAGACGTAAAAATGTGGCTGTGTTGGTCCTTAGGCTTTGATGTACATTCATATCTCATGTTACATCCGCTTCATGTTACGTTCTTTCAGGTTACGTCCTGCGGCAACCCGGAAGTACCAGAAGGAGTTACTTCCGGGTTTCGCCGCTTGCGCATGCGCAGAATAATAATAATAATAAATAATATTTTTTTATTTATATCCCGCCCTCCCCAGCCGAAGCCGGGCTCAGAGCAGCTAACAACAGTAAAATGATACAATATACTAAAATCATTTCATTATAAAATCAGTTCAAATCAGATTAATGGCAACCATTGGGCTAGAGTTCTGTGAGGATTGCCAAAGGAGGGGGTCAGGCTGTGCCCTGGCCAAAGGCCTGGTGGAACAGCTCTATCTTGCAGGCCCTGCGGAAAGATGTCAAGTCCCGCAGGGCCCTAGTCTCCTGTGACAGAGCGTTCCACCAGATTGGGGCCACGGCCAAAAAAGCCCTGGCTCTGGTTGAGGCCAGCCTAACCTCTCTGTGGCCTGGGACCTTCAAGATGTTTTTGTTTGAAGACCGTTTGAAGACCGCAAAATGACATCACGCGCATGTGCAGAAGCGGCGAATCACAACCCACACATGCGCAGATACGCTGCTGCGGGTTGCGCTCTTTTCATGTTGCGAACGGGCCTCCAGAACGCATCCCATTCGCAACCAGAGTTTACCACTGTACTACAGACTCATCGGCAGTGGAAACACCTTGGGGGTCAAAGCAGCCTTTGGTGCTGTTGTCAGGAAAGGGGAACCCAGAATGGCCAGCTTGCACTGTCGACAACAGTGTCTGCCATTCCTTTAGAATCATAGAGTTGGAAGGGACACCAAGATTCATCTAGTCCAACCCTCTGCGATGCAGGAATCTCAACTTAAAGCACCCATGACAGATGGCCGCCCAACCTCTGCTTAAAAACCTTCAAGGAAGGAGAGTCCACCACCTCCTGAAGGAGACTGTTCCAATTTAAGAAGTTAAAATGTTGCCAGGTCATTTAAAAAACGGTTCAGTGTTCTGTGTTGATGGCTCCCTCTCTGCTTCTTGCAGCTTTCCTTCGCATTCCTTACTTCTGAGATTATGGTGCTCCTGGACGACAAACATGAGATCTCCTTCCCCAACCGGCTGGGCCTGAGAGTCCTTGAATACATGGCGGTAGAAGGAGGCTTCAGAATCAGAGCCCTCAGATTCCTCGAATCTTGATTTCCCATAGTCCTGTAACATGTCCGAATAAATTCAACTTGGTTACTCAAAACGGGCAGTGTAACATAGTTTTGTTTTATATATTGTGTGCATTTCTGAGCACAATTCAAAGTGTTGGTGTTGACCTTTAAAGCCCTAAACGGCCTCGGCCCAGTATACCTGAAGGAGCGTCTCCACCCCCATTGTTCTGCCCGGACACTGAGGTCCAGCGCTGAGGGCCTTCTGGTGGTTCCCTCACTGCGAGAAGCAAAGCTACAGGGAACCAGGCAGAGGGCCTTCTCGGTGGTGGCACCCACCCTGCGGAACGCCCTCCCACCAGATGTCAAAGAGATAAACAACTACCTGAAATTTAGAAGACATCTGAAGGCAGCCCTGTTTAGGGAAGTTTTTAATGTGTAGTATTTTAATGTATTTTTAATCTTTGTTGGAAGCTGCCCAGAGTGGCTGGGGAGCCTTTGAACAGTAAGGTGCCTTTGAACAGTAAGGTGGTTTCTAGGTGCATTCACGGACATCCCCCTGGTCTTCATCCAGACAACCAAGAGGCCTTGTCAGAGTTCAGAGAGAGACAACTAGGTGTAAGCTGGAGGGGTCTGTTTTTTAATTCATTTATTAAATGAATTTCTAAACTTAATATAAAATATCAAAGCCAGGAACAAGAATATATAAAAATACACAGGATAAAACCAGCGATAAAGCACAATACAAAATCCTTCCTTGCAGACCTAGTCATGAGGTTAAACGTTGATTGCATGATCTATTCTAGCCAGATTATCCCTGTGCAAGTATGCTCACAATTGCCTCAGGAGGTAAAAGGTCTTATAGCCGCCCAACTAATTGTTTTGCATTCCTTTTTCGTATGTGCATCTTAGGTCTAGTTTTCCACAAGGCCATAAATCTAGGCTGCACCACTTCAGACTGCAGGTAGTAATTACTTCAGGCTTCTTCGTTTGTTATTATTTTTCAAATCCCTCCCAGTCAAGAGACTTAACATGCCAGCAGGCAATGAGAGAGGCTCTAGCTTGGCCACCATTGCAACTTGTTAGTCTTCAATGCAGAGGGAATCTTTTGTACGCAGGTGAATTCTGTCATCTGACCAAGCTGAGGTGGTGCAGTCCAGACAGAAATACTGCTTCCTTCCTCAGTGGAAAATGTGGCCTTTATTCGCACTCTGCCAATGTGGGCAAAGCCCAGTTCCTTCCAACCAACTCCTGTTTCCTCTTTTTAGCACACACTCTACTTTAGCTCTCATTTCTACTTACCGTAACTCTCTGTTCAACTCACTCACTCACAACCCACCCAGGCAATGAGCAACCTTCAGATGGCTCTATTTTTAGGAAACCATCAGAATGTGCCTTTAATAGCATCTCTGGACTGTATTAGCAATTCTCACCTGCCAATTGCTGCATGCAAAAGCTACTGTTAAAGGCACAGCTGCAGAATCGGAGTGCAAAATTTGGCAACTCCAAAATCTGCAACACCTGCTGCAACAGGTTTTCAATTGTTGATTGAAGATGTAAATCGCACTGATGCAAGACCAGCGGGTTCGCCTTTTTTCTACCTCTTGCATTGGACACCTGTAAAGGATTGTGTGCAACTAGGTTCTACTCAGAGAAGACGCATTGAAATTAATAGGCTTAAGTTAACCAAGTCTATTAATACCTTTGAGTAGGACTAAGGTTTGCTACAATTCCAAATTATTTCTCAAAAACAAAACAAACCCTAGTGATATTTTTATAGTCCTTGTTGAAACCTTAGACCACAGTATTTTTCTTCGTCAAGGAGACAGTTTGTGGATTGGTATACTTTTATCATGTACAGAAGATTTTGTGGGACCTCCTCCACCTTACAAAATGTTTTGGTTGCTGTGTTTGCATGTGGTAACTAGAACTGTCACACAAACGGAAGCCGCCCAGAATGGCTGGGGAAACCCAGCCAGATGGGCGTGGTATAAATAATAAAATTATTATTAAATATAACTATTTAAAGGACGTAAAAATCTGACCTCATGTCTTGGAAAGGGTAGGTGGGTTTTTATTTTCATAGAATCATAGAACTGTAGAGCTGGGTGGGTTAACCTTTAAATGTGAACTCGATCAAAATTCTCCCTAGTCACAAGATGCTTTGGGTGGAATTCAGCATGTCACTCTGACAAATGCTCCATCTGTACAAACTTTGCAGCTCATCAGATGGAAGATCCCTTCTCTCCTTCTCCGCACACTCTTTTGGGGGTCCTCCTGATTCTCACTGAGCCAATTTGGGTGGTGCCACTGAAGGCAGTGGCGTAGAGTGGTTGGAGGCCACAGGGGCAACTGCCCCTCATGCAAAATTTCAACACCCCTGCCCCAATACAGCTGCATGTTTCCATTACTGGGCTCTCTTGAAAATGGCTTCTTCATGCGAACCAGGAAGTGACCTCTCAAGACAACGGAAAAACTATTCTTTCCTTATCTTGGCAGCTACAATCTCCTGGGTGACGCAAACGCTGTTAGGCAGTTGAAGTTGAATGTGTATGCGTACTCTGCCTGTTTCCCTTCCACCCACCCCTCTGCACAGCCCCGGGTGCTGGCAACCTATGCTATGCCACTGGCTGATGGGGCATAAATGACTCTCTCTCTTTGTTGCAGCAAATTAGCATGGCTACCCCTCTGACGGGACGTGGGTGGTGCTGTGGGTTAAACCGTGCGCTGCTCTGGTTCGCCAGAAGCGGCTTAGTCATGCTGGCCACATGACCCAGAAGCTGTACGCCGGCTCCCTCGGCCAATAAAGCGAAATGAGTGCCGCAACCCCAGAGTCGGTCACGACTGGACCTAATGGTCAGGAGTCCCTTTACCTTTACCCCTCTGACATTTGCTGTGTCCACAGCTGAGGCTTCTCCAGATTCCAGAAGATGTGGGAAGGGACACCTCTGACTTAGCCTAGACTAGCAAGTTCTCAGTTCTATAGTAACAGCAGCTGATAGGAAGCCAGTGTGGTGTAGAAGTTAGAGCCATTCCAGACTACAACAGGCAAGACCTGGTTCAAATCCCCACTCGTCCACGAACCAATCACCTTATTCCACTGAAGACCATTTATTTCCTTGGCTCAGTTGTTTGCTGACCTGTCTTTTTTGGTCTGCTGGCACCCAAAACCCAGATCAAAGTAAAAAATAGAATGGACAAGTGTTCCAGTGAGCGCCAGCTGGGAAGCTGCAGATAATCAATTGCATAAAGCAGGCTTTGCCAACCTTGTGCTTTCTAGGTATTTTGGACTACAAATCCCATCAGCCCATCTAGCACAGGTGATGGGAGCTGTAGTCTGAAACATCTGGAAAGCAAGAGGTTAGGGTGGGCCGGCAAAGCAAACTAGCTTCAGCTGTTTGAGCATATCATCACTGCTCCCATTCTTCTGATTTTTGCCAATCAACCCTGATTTTCTCTGTCTTGCATTTCTGGGTATTTGAACAGACCACCCATTCACAGCAGACTCTTTTTGTCACGTGATGCTGTTCCCCAGCTATTTAAAGCAGCTGGGGCTTGTTCTGCTAAAACTGCAGAGCTGCGATTAGGCAGAAGAAAACGTTGCTTACTTGTTGGCCGGACTCCTGCAAGAGTGTCCCATGGATTGTGTGAGTTCCAGGCGCTCTCTGTTTTTTAGCATAGGAAACCCTTCGCAGGGAGGCTGCAGTATAAACTGCTGGGACTGAGCAGTTCTAGAAACCCGAAAGTGTTAATAAGTAGCTTGGTCTTGCAGGAGAAGAGTTACCGTAATTTTCGCTCCATAACACGCACTTTTTTGCTCCTAGAAAGTAAGGGAAAATGCCTGTGCGTGTTACGGAGCGAATGCACTGGATCGGAGCCGTGGCTGCCGTCAGTCAAGCAAAGCGGGAGCCGCTTGCAGGGCTTTGCACGGCTCTAGCTTTGCTTCCTTAAAAGCCAGGAGGAGGGGCTCCTTTGCTTGCTTTAAAGCTACCTACAAGGGAGGAGGAGGAGAGAGGAGGAGGAGGGGAGGAGGGAGGGAGGGAAGGAGAGCCATGGCAGCAAAGCGGGCAGCAGCCGCTTACACGGGAGGAGGGACAGACGGGACCATAGCGAGCCGGGAGAAGGCAGGCGGTTCAAAGCCAGCAGGCGCTTTTAAAGTAGCCAGCAACAGCTGCTGCAGCCTCAGCTAGCAAAGGTCCGCGCGCTCAGTGAGGCTGCAGAGGGACAGGAGGGCTTCGATCAGGAAGGATAAAATTTAAGCAACCAGCAGCAAGCAAAAAAAACCAACCTGGAGCTCTGAGCCAGTGAAAACCAGGAAGTAAAAAAAAGTAAAAAAAAAAAGCTACCCCCCCCCTGCTTCTCAGCTGTTTTCAGGCAGGATAGATTTGAGCATTGTCTGGGTCCTAGTGCCCCTACCGTTTTTTTGTGCTCCATTCTATTGCTGCTGGTGGCTGCTTATCATTCAGGCTGCAAGGAGGAGCGCTTTTACACAGCTAATGGCGAATCCCCTGCAATCCAAGTCCTCCTCACTTGCTCAAATCTATTCTGCCTCAAAACAAGGAGCAGAAGGAAAAGGCTGCAAACTGTTAAATGGAAAAAAAAAACCCCAGGCACAGGGCAAATACCTTAAGTATACCTTTAAAGGAACAGTGTTCTTTCCCTCCCCGCTCAGCTCACAGAAAAGCTCCTTCTCCACACCCCCCACGCGTGCTCCTTGTCCATTGAGTGCTTTCCCTTCCCTCCCCACTTAAAACGTGGTTACAAAGCACGGATCCACATGGATCCTCAGGATTTTTGCACTGGGTCACCCCAAACTCACCATCAGATCACATGTCTGTGGCCACAGCATGAACCACAAAAGTCATACATCTACTGTTTCATTTAGAATATTTTTTTCCTTGTTTTCCTCCTCTAAAAACTACGTGCGTGTTATGGTCAGGTGCGTGTTATCGAGCGAAAAATTAGCTTGTTTCCTAGATGACTTCTTGTTCCTGCTTTTGTATCTTGTTGTTTCTAGTTCCTTGCTAAATATCGTTGGTGATTTGTCGGTGTGTGTGTGTGTGTGTGTGTGTGTGTGCTGTTAATGTAATACCACCAATACACACCAAGCTTTCTGGAGCTTAAAAAAAGACTGGTCTCTGCCCCTAGTAGCTTGCAGTCCAAAAATCTGCCCACAGGAAAGGCAAGTACAGTGTAATTTAATGGGAAGTGGGTGCATAAATGTGGTTTTGTATTACAAGAAAAACCTGCTCCCTTTCCCTTATGGGGTATTCCGGAGACAATATGGAGTCCTTAAGTGGGTTCCCTATCAGTAGGAGAAAACAACAGAGGCCAACCAGAGAATATTGAGAAGCAAAGCAGCTAGTAAGCCTGATCTTTATTAAAGGGACTGTCGCAACAGGGTCTCCACTCATCACACACAGGAGGAGAACCCTGAACAATGGTGCACAAGCCCTTATATAGACTTTTGAAATTGCCCACCCTGTAGCCCAAGACCACACCCCTAAAACATCATACATCCATCACAGAAGAAGGTGGTCTACAGCATAGGAGGTGGTCTACAGCAGAAATCCTGCCTGCCAGGATACCTGATAATGGTCACTGATTGCTCTACCTGGGCAGCTTGGTCATTCTTTTGTGATGGTAAATACTTTAGTTCAGGCTTCCTCAACCTTGGCCACCCCAGATGTTTTTGGCCTACAACTCCCATGATCCCTAGCTAGCAGGACCAGTGGTCAGGGATGATGAGAATTGTAGTCTCAAAACATCCGGAGGGCCAAGGTTGAGGATGCCCTCTTTAGTTCCTGAATCCAGGTCACAGGCTCGCCCTATTCATTACACAAATACGGCCTTAAGACAGGATTTGCAAGCAAAAAGACAATGGGAAGGCTTTCCCCATTTGCCTCCCTGACTGCAGAGGAATATTTGAGGTCATTGGGAGAATCAAAATGACTTCAGGATTGCTCTCCCATACTATTTCAGACACATGGTTCCTATATTTAGATATGTGTGCATTTATGAATACTCATTCTATATTTGAGACCTTAAAATTCTTATAACAGTGTGCTCAAAGGGGAATGGGTTTGAAGTGAGGACTTCACAGCAAATGTGGGTTTGGCAGAATGCATATTTGAGTGAATTGGTCCAACTGATCTGTGGTGTTACTTATTCACAGTAGTTTTACGTTGCCCAGTGATGGAGTTCTTGGGACCAGCGCTGTCTTTTTAAATGAACAAGGAATAAAATGCGGGGGGGGGGGACGGAAGGGGGAAAACTCTGGAGGTCCAGTGGAGTTCAGCCTTCTGACCCTAAGCAGCTAATAACTCCTGGGGAAAAAAGGAAAGAAAAAAAAGTCAGTTCCTGAAAAGCTTTCCTACCCCAAATGAGATGAGTACTTTTCCGAGCACAATTCAGTGTTGGACCTTTAAAGCCCTAAATGGCCTTGGTCCTGTATACCTGAAGGAGCGTCTCCACTCCCATCGTTCAGCCTGGACACTGAGATCCAGCTCCAAGGGCTTTCTGGTGGTTCCCTCATTGAGAGAAGTGAGGTTACAAGGAACCAGGCAGAGGGCCTTCTCGGTAGTGGCGCCCGCCCTGTGGAACGCCCTCCCACCAGATGTCAAAGAGATAAACAACTACCTGACATTCAGAAGACATCTTAAGGCAGCCCTGTTCAGGGAAGTTTTTAATATTTAACGCTGTACTGTTTTTAACACTTGATTGGGAGCTGCCCAGAGTGGCTGGGGAAACTCAGCCAGATGGGCGGGGTATAAATAATAAATTATTATTATTATTATTATTATTATTATTATTATTATTATTATTATTAATGTGCTTCTTGTTTATGGACTCATAGCCGGCTGCTTCCTTTTCTTCTGTATTGTAGGCTTTGTGTCCTAACCTTGATGCTTGGGATGAGCCTTGCTCCAGCCCAAAGACCGTAAGCGCATCAATTCCCCCTCAATTCCCCTTTCTCCGCTGAATCCCACCATGTCACCACTGCAGCTCAATTTGTGTCTGATTTCCCCTTCTGCAGAAATTGACTGCCACTGAATTTGAACTTGAGCAAGGGGACACCATTCAAGTGAAAGGGATGATCTTGCCAGGTGCCACAGAGTATGTTCTTATTGTGTTCTTATTTCCCTCCCTGCCAATTTTTATTTATCGTTTTCATTTTTACACTTGAAACAATAACAATACCTCACTTTTTAAAAAGAAAAACAAACCACAATTAATATTCATTCCGCTTCCACCCCTTCCATTCTTCGTTTTGTTACTTTCTTGTTCCACTGCATATTCGAATTTCCCCCTATGTCTTATTCTTTCTCAACTTTGTATCTCAATATTTCTTACTGCTGAATTTATTTTGTTACTGTTAACTTTTCGACAGGTTTACAATACATTTCCAAATAATCTATAAAATATTTCCAGTCTTCTTCGAATACTCCCCGCCCCGTTCTCCTCGTTCTGTTTGTCAGTCTTGCCATTTCTATATATTCTATGAATAGAATAATTTAATCTATTCATCTGCATCTGCCCTTAGGGTGAAAGGTGGGTAAGGAATAAAAAACCAGCAGCATGTGTCTCTATCCTGTCATTCCTGTGTTTGGGTGTCTTTGTCCATGAAGCATCTTGGATCCAAATTCAGAAACAGAATGATGTAGCTTGAGGTTGAATCCTGACAAGACAGAAGTACTGTTTTTGGGGGACAGGAGGCGGGTGGGTGTGGAGGACTCCCTGGTCCTGAATGGGGTAACTGTGCCCCTGAAGGACCAGGTGCGCAGCCTGGGAGTCATTCTGGACTCACAGCTGTCCATGGAGGCACAGGTCAATTCTGTGTCCAGGGCGGCTGTCTACCAGCTCCATCTGGTACGCAGGCTGAGACCCTACCTGCCCGCAAACTATCTCGCCAGAGTGGTGCATGCTCTAGTTATCTCCCACTTGGACTACTGCAATGCGGCTACCTTTGAAGCTGACCTGGAAACTACAACTATGGTAATCCAGAATGTGGCAGCTAGACTGGTGACTGGGAGCAGCCGCCAAGACCATATAAAACCGGTCTTGAAAGACCTACTCTGGCTCGCAGTATGTTTCCAAGCACAATTCAAAGCGTTGGTGCTGGCCTTTAAAGCCCTAAACGGCCTCAGCCCAGTATACCTGAAGGAGCGTCTCCACCCCCATCGTTCTGCCCGGACACTGATGTGCAGCACCGAGGGCCTTCTGGAGGTTCCCTCATTGTGAGAAGCCAAATTACAGGGAACCAGGCAGAGGGCCTTCTTGGTAGTGGCGCCCGCCCTGTGGAACGCCCTCCCACCAGATGTCAAAGAGAAAAACAACAACCAGACTTTTAGAAGACATCTGAAGGCAGCCCTATTTAGGGAAGCTTTTAATGTTTAATAGGTTATTGTATTTTAGTGTTTTGTTGGAAGCCGCCCAGAGTGGCTGGGGAAACCCAGCCAGATGGACGGGGTATAAATAATAAATTATTATTATTATTATTATTATTATTATTATTATTATTATTATTATTATTATTACTAGTTGCATTTTAAGCCTGAGAAGAGTATTCTCAGAGCATTGACTAACTTTTAAAGCAGTGGATCCCTTTCAGAGGCCATCTTCCAACATGTCCCACCTGTCCCTTCCAACATGTCCCTTCCAACATAACCCACTTGTCATCATCCTCTGTCTGGCTCTGTCTAGAAGATTTGGAATGAAATGTCTCAACAACCATTGTTTTAAATTACTGTCTTTTGACCCCAAGTGTTCAGAAAAACTTGTCCAAATCTTTCTACCATTTCTACTGTTAGTTAAGTTAGCTATGCCCCTGCCCCCCGAGTCAAAACTCTTGCTGTTTCTAAATGTATGGTGTGAATGTGGCCCTTCAGTCCCAAGTTCGAATTGTAGAGTTGGAAGGGGCCTTAGAGTCATCTAGTCCAACCCCTGCAATGCAGTCACCAGTAACACTTTCATCCTGAGTTCACGTTTTCCCTCCCTGCATTGGTCATCCTCTTAAAGGTTTTCCGTCAATCTGGGCGAAGACTGTGAAAATCTCGTCCTTCGCTTCAACCCACGCTTTGACAACCAGAATGACACGAGCACCATTATCTGCATGTCCAAAAAACATGGGGTGTGGGGGAAAGAAGAGAGGATAACAGACTTCCCTTTTGAGAAAGGTGGCAAATTTAAGGTGAGCACTTAGCTGTATATCATACAATCTTAGAATTGGAAGGGACCCTAGGGTTATCTAGTCCAACAATTCAGGAATCTCAGCCAAAGCAGCCACGGCAGATGGCCACCTAACCTCTGCATAAGAACCTCCAAGGAAGGAGAGTCCACAACCTCATGAGGGCATCTGTTACACTGCTGAACAGCTCTTAGCCTCCAGAGCAGGAGAACACAAGCTTGCTCCATCCTCTACACAACAACCCTTTTGATATTTGAAGATGACTATCCTATCTCCTGTTGACTTTGTCCATGGAGTTTTCTTGGCAGGGATACTGGAGTGGCTTGCCGGTTCCTGCTCCAGGTGGATCACGTTTGGTCAAAACTCTCCACTATGACCTGTCCATCTTGGGTGGCCCTGCGCAGCATACCTCATAGCTTCTCTGAGTTATTCAAGCCCCTTCGCCACGACAAGGCAGTGAGACTTTTGAGAGTCCCATGGACTGCAAGAAGATCAAACCGATCCATTCTGAAGGAAATCAGCCCTGAGTGCTCACTAGAAGGACAGATCCTGAAGCTGAGGCTCCAATACTTTGGCCACCTCATGAGAAGAGAAGACTCCCTGGAAAAGACCCTGATGTTGGGAAAGATGGAGGGCACAAGGAGAAGGGGATGACAGAGGACGAGATGGTTGGACAGTGTTCTCGAAGCTACTAACATGAGTTTGACCAAACTGCGGGAGGAAGTGGAAGACAGGAGTGCCTGGCGTGCTCTGGTCCATGGGGTCACGAAGAGTCGGACACGACTAAACAACAACAACTCCTCTCCTCTCAGTCTCCTCTTTCCCATGCTAAACATACCCAGCTCCTTCAACCATTCCTCATCAGGCTTGGTTTCCATCTTGGTTGCCCCTCTCTGCACACATTCCAGCTTGTCAACATCCTTCTTAAATTGTGGCACCCAAAACTGGACTAGATCAACGATATCAAAGGGTGTGTGTGAATGGAGCAGGTGTGTGGCTTCTGTGGGGGGTGGTCTTTGTGGAGGGAGTATTTTGGGGGTGCTGAACCTGCAACCCTCCAGTTGAAATTGCGCTCCCAACTCCCATCAGCCCCAGCTAACATGACCGGTAGTCAGACACAATGGGACCAATAGTCCAGCAACATCTGGTGAACTCCAGGTTCCCCTGTGAACGGGGGGAGACTTCCTTGTAACATAGCAGGGTTCAGTTTATGTGTGCAGAACTACAGTTGGGGGTCTGGCATGTGTGAGAAGTACTTGTGTGGGTTTATTAAACTGTGTGTTAAAAACCAACCCATCGTTGCCCATGGAAATCTAGCTTGTAAGTGGGCCTGTCTAATAATCTCTGTTGGGAGGGACTTTCTCAGAATTTGGGTCCCTAATATCTAATGCGTAGCTTTAGATATCACCTTACCAACAAAGGCCCTTATAGTTAAAGCTATGGTTTCCCCAGTAGTGATGTAGTGACAGCTGGACCATAAAGAAGGCTAATCGATGCTTTTGAATTATGGTTCTGGAGGAGACTCTTAGAGTCCCATGGACTGCAAGAAGATCCAACCGATCCATTCTTAAGGAAATCAGCCCTGAGTGCTCACTGGAAGGACAGATCCTGAAGCTGAGGCTCCAATACTTTGGCCACCTCATGAGAAGAGAAGACTCCCTGTAAAAGACCCTGATGTTGGGAAAGATGGAGGGCACAAGGAGAAGGGGACGACAGAGGACGAGATGGTTGGACAGTGTTCTCAAAGCTACCAGCATGAGTTTGACCAAACTGCGGGAGGCAGTGGAAGACAGGAGTGACTGGCATGCTCTGGTCCATGGGGTCACGAAGAGTCGGACACGACTAAACGACTAAACAACAACAACAAGCTTCTGGTGCAAACAAACAATGCACCACTAGCAGAAAATCGACCCATACCAACAAGTTAACCTGGATTAATAGCATTTATTTAACTCTCTGTAGATAAGAGTAGCAATGGGGGCACAAGGCAATTCTGATGCGTCCTAGACTGCCACACTTGGGGTCAGAACAGCCTGGGGTGCCCTTGCAGGAACCATTCCTTTAAAAGCTTTCAAATGCTGCCCGGGACAAGTGTTTTGTTTTTAATGTGTGTGGTGTCCCCCACAGGTCATGATCATTCCTTTTATTTCTTGTAGCTTTCCTTCATTCTTTACACTTATGAGATCAAGGTGCAGCTGGCAGACGGTCATGACATCTTCTTCCCTAACCGGCTGGGCCTGGAGACCATCAAGTACGTTGCGGTGGAAGGAGACGTCAGGATGAAAGCCCTCAGATTTCTCAGATTATCCTAGTCCCAAGTCACTGTTTTGTTACATGTCTGAATAAACACAGCTTGTGCTCTTCAAAACATGTCATTTCACATGGTTTTATTTTGTAAGAGGGAGGAAGGGGGCAATTTTCAGGCCAGGAGCTGCTGCATTCCATTATTATTATTATTATTATTATTATTATTATTATTATTTTATCATTATTATTATTTACCCTGCCCATCTGACTGGGTTTCCCAAGCTCCTCCGAGTGGCTTCCAGCACATATAAAAACATAATAAAATGCCAAAAATTTAAAATGTTATTAAGAGTTTTCAACATACGATACAATAAGAACCCAACTAGCGTAAAAAAACAACAGATAATTAAGGATAAAGGAGCAAAAGAGGAAAGAAAGAAAGAAAAGTGAGAAATAAATTAATATATTAAAACACAAAGAGACGATAGAATCTCCTATCACACTTGTTTCTTAATTTTCAATCTGCATACAGAGAATTGATTTCTCCCAGCGCTTCCTCCTTCCTTAGTCTCACACCCTGAAAAAAGCCGCTCTAGTTTGCTTCTCAAATGGCTCCCTTTCTCTTTGGTCTGTTACCTCTCTGAATCTACCTTCATTTATCCTGATTATATGTCTTCTGAGATCAAAACATTCATATGAATAACGTTAATTGGGAGCCATAAAAAATTAAAGATCTTTGGGACTGGGCGGGGGTGGTGGTGTTGAGGAAAAAAGCCTTTGAGGGCCACATTCCACTGGTGGGTTGGGGTCGGGGCCCAATATAGGTTGAGGAACAAATGGACGTTTTTCCTTTATGGCTTCCGTGCGCTCACAGGCAGAGCACTTTGCAGCAGTAGACCCTACCCCAAAGCGACTGGGGTAAGGCCGTAGCTTAGACGTGGAATGCCTGCTCTACATGCACAAGGTCCATGGTCCAATTCCTGGCTCAATTCTCCAGGTAGGACTAGGAATGGCCCTCATCAGAAACCTTGGACAGGCTCTGCCAGTCAGTCAGGGCCGGATTTAGGTTTGATGAGGCCCTAAACTACTGACGTGGGTGGCGCTGTGGGTTAAACCACAGAGCCTAGGACTTGCTGATCAGAAGGTCGGTGGTTTGAATCCCCGTGATGGGGTGAGCTCCCATTGCTCAGTCCCTGCTCCTGCCAACCTAGCAGTTCGAAAGCACGTCAAAGTGCAAGTAGATAAGTAGGCGCCGCTCCGGCGGGAAGGTGAACGGCGTTTCCGTGCGCTGCTCTGGTTCGCCAGAAGCGGCTTAGTCATGCCGGCCACATGACTCAGAAGCTGTACGCCGGCCCCCTCGGCCAATAAAGCGAGATGAGCGCCGCAACCCCAGAGTCGGCCACGCCTGGACCTAATGGTCAGGGGTCCCTTTACCTTTAAGCTACTGAAGGAATGGGGCCCTTTATATGTCCAGCTGTCCTTTGTCAACAACAAATTGTCACTGTTTTTTGTATTGAATATATGCTATATGGTAATTTATGGATCTAACAGGTATCTAAAGCCATTTGCACATGCAGAATGTAGGCACCCTACATATAGAAATGAGCAAACCCATGATATTTTATGGAGCAGGCTAGCAGGTGGGGCCCATTACTTACATCACAGGAGCGTACAGAACACAAAACAATGTTGCTGTATGTAGGTTTTATTTTATTTGTTTTTATCTTATATTTTGGAAATGTACATCCAGTTTCTTTTTCCTCAAAAAAATTTTGGGCGTAAATCTGGCACTGCAGTCAGTGCAAATCTTCCAAGTGTCCCGATTTTCTGATTTGATCGCAGAATGTCCCGGTTTTCCTTTTTCCCTCCCTCCACATCTCAGAGAATAATTAAAGGTGGTGTGGGTGGGTGCAAAAACGGAGCCCTGTTTATCCCGAAAATAAAATACCTGCACCCAATGAAAAACATGGTGACGCTGGCATATGAAAGCCTTTGGAGGAAAAGGTCACCAATCCACTCTAAATTCTTTAATTGCAATGCATCAGCAGCCAGCCCTTTCTTAGGAAACACAGGGAGTGTTGATTCCTTTACTGTAAATGGAGCCGTGCACTGTCTACTCAGAAGTAAGTCCCACTGTAATCAATGGAGCTTACTCCCAGGTAACTGGGTAAAGACTGGGTAGCCTTTAGGTTAAGACATACCAAAAGGAATGAGGACTTTATTTATTGTGTGCCACTACAGCAGCAAGAATTTTGATTGCACGAAATTGGAAGACTGGAGAAATACCAACTAAAGAAAAATGGCAAGAGAAGTTGATGAACTATGCAGAACTGGCAAAAAATGACAGATAGACTAAGAGAAAAAGACAACAGTGGCTTTGAAAAAGATTGGAAACCATTCATATTACATTTGCAGAAACAAAGAAAGTCAACAGACTTGATGGTAGGATTTAAATAAACATTCACATTATCAGCATCAGAAAATGTTTAGAAGATAGTGAAATATGATGGTGTATTCACTTTTATTTTTATGCTTTTAGGCTTGATGGTATGTTATTAATAACTTTTTTCTGTTAAGAGATAGCAAAGTGGGTGAAAATAGAAACAAACCAGAAGCGGAAGTTGGGGGAAGCCTTGGAGTGGAGGGAGGGAGGAAGATATAGTAAATGTTAGGAATTTGAGATGTATGTAATGAATGAAAAATAAAAATGAATAAATTTAAAAAAAGACTGGGTAGCCTTATACTGTAATCCTAAGCATTTTTACTCAGAACTAATTCCCACTGAGTTCAATAGGATTTACTCTTTGGTATGTTCCTGAGCATTCTCAGTTTCCATCATTTTTATTATTACTATTACTATATTCCACCTCTCTCCCTGACAGCGACTCAAGGCAACTTTCAGCTAAAATTTGATTCCATTCCATTTATCTGCGGAACTGTTGTATATGATCCCTTCCCACATTTATTCCCTTCTTCACATTTATTCTTTACACACCCCTGCTAGATAGGTTACCTGGAGTCAGTGGCGTAGCGTGGGTTGTCAGCACCCGGGGCAAGGCAAGTAATTTGCGCCCCCTAACCCGTGGATGTGCGCCCCCTAACCCGTGGATTTGCGCCCCCTAACCTGTGGATTTGCCCTAACCCCAGATGTTGCGCCCGGTGCGGCCGGGCCCCCCTGCACCCCGCACGCTACGCCACTGCCTGGAGTGCTTGTAATTGGCTCAAGGTGACCACTGTAGATGTGTGTATTCAATCTATGTGTTTGGAGAGATCAAATGCAGGAATAATAATAATAATAATAATAATAATACATATTTATTTATACCCAGCCCATCTGGCTGGGTTTCCTGAGGGAGAAGAGGATGTCCCTATTTTCATCAGAGAAATTAGGTAAGGCAGCTCCCAGTGTTCAACATAGTGCTTTTGCAGGCCCATAAAGTTTGCTGGAACAAGCAACAGACTGCAGTGTCCACTGTGCCAGGAGAATATCAGCCACCAAATGTTTATTGAACCTAAGAACAGAAAGCCAAGTGGCCCTTCTACATTTTGTGCTTTGCTTTCTCTTTAAGCCTTCCTGCTTCTTTCTGCTGCATCCCAGAACCGCCTGCTGAAATTAAAAGTTTACAGCAGATATCAGGAGCACTTCGCTGCTGCAGGCCCATAAAAGCCATTTACATCTAAATCTAATTTAATTGGCCGGCCGGCCTTTGCTGCTTGTGCTGCTTTCCAAAATCCAAATCAAATCAAAGAAGCAATGACCAAATATTTCAAGGAGCCCAAGGCAGGAGGCTGCTGAGATCAATTGCACATTAAGAAGTAGCATCAGCTGTTTGAGTTTACGATTAGTGTTTCCATTCATTTGAAAGCCTCTAGCTTCCCACCCCATTGACTGATTTTTCCTCCTTGCATTTCTGCAGGTCTTCACTCAGAGGATAACCTTTTTGTCACGTGACGCAATTTCCCCAGATATTTAAGGGCAGCTGGGGAGTCTTTGCTGAAACCTTTTTAAAAGCAGCTGGATGTGGCTTGATTTATTGAATCTCAGAGAGAAGAGGGAAGAAAGTATTGCTTACCTGTTGGACCCTAGCGAGATTGTATCATGGAGACGGTGAGTCCCGGTTCTCTGTTGCTGCTGTAAGACTAGGAGACTGTTGGTATTGAGGTGGTAATACAAGCAACAGGCACTAAACAGAGCTGGAAACCTATCAGCTTGGGAATGAGTTAACAGCTATCAGCTAGGACACAATCTATGTGTGGCACTTCTAGCCTTCCCTGTCTTCTTGTTTCTGATTTCTTACTAAATTCTTTTTTGTGTGTTTTGTCAGTGGGACTCTCCTCTGTTTTTGTTTGTTTTTTAAAATTTATTTAATCGTTTTTTTTGATGCAAACAACAACCGCAAAAGACGCTACAACAAAAACCATAATAACAATAATAACACAATTTGACAATTCAGATTTAAATACACCGATATACCTACGACGGCACCTTTTTAACAATATTTCCCCACCTCTCTCTCCTCCCCCCACTATCCGCCTTATCGCTTAAATATTCATTCCAGATTTTTTCATATTTATCCATTCTTAATTTGCGTCGACATGCAATTCGTTCATATGTAGCTAATCTGTCCATATTCTCAAGCCATGTGCTCAATGGAATCTTTTTCTCTCCTCTGTTAATGATGAGACCGTATTATCAAAATGCATGGTGATTTCCTGCATAAATTGAAAAGATGGGTCCCACCAAACTTACAAACAAAGGTTTACCTGTGGGAGAAGCAAGTATAATGTGATTTTAGGGGATGGAGGTGTGCAAATGTAGCTTTTCATGCTCAAACTGCCCAAGGCAGGTGCCTGTGAGGGGGCCAGACTCTGAGCTTCTATTTTAAAAATAGAAATCTCTAGCCCACTAGAAAGAAAGTTATAGAGCAATAGGTGCAGGTACCCTTCTAAGCAATTTCTGCGAGGTAATGTTAGCCTGGCTCCTGCTGCCTTGCAGTGTTTTCAACCAGTGAGTGAAGTCATTTTTTAATTATTATTTCATAAAATTTATATACTGCTTGATTGTAGGAAACTTTAGTGTAGT